ACTGCCTCGGAAACCCAAGGAGGGGTCGCTATGAGTCGGGGCCGACTCGACGGCACATAACAACAACAACAACAACTATATAGTGTAACAGATACATTAAATGCTTCTTGAAACATCAACCATCACTAATAGCTGGTCTATGAAATTATTACTTACCTGGATCAAAATTATCACCAAATATTCTCTTGGCAGGAATCTTCAGGGCCATGGCAGGAAACTGTTTCCTTAACTAAAATTAAACAAATAAACAACAAGAAAAAATTATGTAAACATAATTTTATAAATCATCTAGATATACGCACCAAAACCAAATATAATCTGACTTGAAAAAAAATCTATCATAAGACATACTTCTAAAAAATGATCATTCAACATACAATATTAAATTATCGTAAAGATGAGACAATCAACTTCTGTAAAGATTTATAGCCTTGGAAACCCAATGGGAGTCAGAATTGACTTGATGGCAGTGGGTGGAATAGAATAGACTAATCATCCTATTTTGTCTGTGTGACCTTGGGTAAGTTATTTTATATCTCTGTGCCTCAGTTTTCTTACATATAAAATGTGAATAATTTTTGCACTTATCTTATGGATTTGTTGTGAGTCTCAAAGGAGGAATATATGTACAGTGCTTAGACTAGAACCTAGTGTATAACTGTCAACTATATGTCACCCATCATGTATTACCCCAGGAGAAAATACCATCTTTGTGTTCTCACTACATGAACTGACTGACAATAGTTTTCTAAGAAAGCTAATGAATTTGTTTTTAACACTCTCTATTCCAACATTAGGAGCTCTGGTGCTGCAGTGGTTACAACATATGGCTGCTAAACAAAAGTTTGACAGTTTGAACCCACCAGCTGCTCCACAGGATAAAGATGAGGCAGTCTGCTTCTGTAAAGACTTATGGCCTTAGAAACCCTATGGGGCAGTTCTACTCTGTCCTATAGGGTTGCTATGAGTCAGAATCAACTTGATGGAAGTGGGTTTGATTTTGGTTTTTGTTCCAACACCGAAGGAGCCCTGTGGTTCTAATAATCCTCCCATTAGTAGTCTAATATATTTATTTATATTTTATAATAATATAATAAAATAAATTACATACTTATTTAATTATAAGGTATTTACTAAATCTAAAATTTGTTTATCACCATAGAAGGTACCACCTTGTCCTGAAGAAATCAAATTTTTAACAGCAAATTCAAAAGATTGGGTTATATTTTTATTATAACCTTGATGCCAAAACACTGAACACACACAACAGAACTATAGACCTAACTTAACTACTAAATGACAGGAAATGCAAAGAACAGAAGATCACTCTACAAGAACAGAATCACTCTACGCCATGAGGATGCTATCAGCAAAATCCAGACTGAAAAATCTATAGACAAATTACCCTGTTTTGCTCAACAACAACAAAAAAATTGAAAAGGAAAGAAGAGAGACAAAGAGGTAAACCTATCATTAAAAGACACTTACCAACCAATCACATAAACACTAGTTGGATATTTGATATTAAGACATCATTGCTAGCTTTTGTTGTAGTGTGATATGACATTGTATTTTAGGATCCTTATACTAAACTTGGGAGTTCTGGTGGCATAGTGCATAAGGCATCTGACTGCTAACCAGAAGGCTGCTGGTTCAAACCCACTAGCCACTCCTCGAAAGGAAGACTGGGCAATCTACTTCCACAGAGATACGGCCTCAGAAACCCAAGGAGGGGTTGCTATGAGTCGAATTGACTCGAAGATAGTGAGTTTGGGTTTTTTTTTGTTAACACTAACCCTGTTGTTAGAACTCTATACTAAAATATTTACAAATGAAATGATAGGATATAATGTCTTGAGATTTGCTTTAAATTATGATGGGCTGGGCTAACTAGGGGTAGAGATGAAACAAGGGTTTCAGTAATTGTTGAAAATGGATGGCATCTTACATTATATTTAGTACAAGTACTAGTCCCTCTACTATATGTGTTCTGAGAATTTTTATAACAAAAGTTTTAAAACTGAAACTATAAATGACACATTTAAGTTGACAGACAATTAAAATGCTTATGAACTGGAAATTTTACTTTTGTCTTTTCTTTTATTCTAAAAGGAATACAAGGAGAACATTTGCATTTTTGAACTTAGGGAAGCCCAGGCCAGGTTCAGCATGATTTCTGTAGATTCAAAGGGCAAAAGTGATACTGTTCGCTTGCTTTTTTTCTTTGCCTCCCACCACAGAAAGTAGAAATGGAAGGAGTAACACAGAAGAGACACACAGACATAGAAAATGGTAAAATGAAAAAAGTAAAGAAAAATATGGGAGAAATGAGGGAGAGAGATCGATAAAAACTGAACTACATGTTGAGAAAAATGTTCTGCAAACACCTTACTTAAGATGAGGTGTTCAATGGAACTGAGAATGAAGGTGATTGTAAGGGGGACAAGTATCTAAAATGAGCTTTCCTACTTTGCCTTTATGCTTAAAGATACTCATATATTAACATTCTTATCTAATTAATCACCAGCTATTTGAATCATGAAAGTAGCATGAAGATCCTAACCTTTTCCTTCATGTAGCTCGCCACATGACTGTTTCCTCATCACACCCCTTACAAGTTACCTTCTTATGAACAGTTCTAAAAAGGAAACTGGTTTAGAAGGTAAATGTAGCCCTATATAATCTTTTAAGAAAAAAAAAAAAAAAAAGAAACTACAAAGTTTCAGTTATTAGTAGCTCTGTGAACAGAATTGATCTTAATACTCTAAGAAGTTTACATAAACCACTTTTGTTGTTGTTGCTGTTATGTACCGTCAAGTCGGACCTGACTCATAGTGACCCCTCCTTGGGTTTCCAAGGCAGTATCACTATGGAAGTAGATTGCCTCATCTTCCTTCCAAGGAGTGGCTGGTGGGTTTGAACCACCAGCCTTCTGATTAGCAGTCAAGTGCCTGAGGCACTATTTATATATCACTAAAAAATTACAGAAGTTATTCCCATACATAAACTCTAACTGGCTGTTCTGGTTACCTAGTACTGCTCTGAAAAGAATATACCACAAATGGATGGCCTTAACAAACAGGAGTTTATTCTTACAATTTG